AAGGGCATCAGTAGGACTTTCAAAGATAAAAAGATGAAGGTTTTGCAGCAGATTGAAACTCAGGGCCCTTGAAAACATTGCCTAATATCCCAAATGCAACCAGCCTACTCTCTTCCTTCAAACCAGCTCTGGACCCAACTAGCTCATTTCCCTCCAGGATGCATGTACTGAGAACCAGCTCTCAAGGTTGTCTCTCCAAATACATATTTTGGGTCAGACCTACGATTTCACTAGGACAGGGAACTTCCACGGAGGAAAAATCCCTCTACCCATGCAAGTCAACACCCACTATGCAATTTAGCCTTAGAGAATTGTCTGGGGTTATCAAGAGGTTAAATGACTTGCCCAACGTGTCAGAGATGAAGCTCAAAGCCACGGCTTCCAAACAACAAAGCTAGCTCTCTAGCACTATTCCTTCTTGTATGGACTTTCTTTTCCCCAAATCCACCCATCTTCTAAGCTTACTTCTTTCTGTCATAAGGACTACCGTGCCAAATCATATCTACCACTACATTACCTACGTGTTACTTTCTCTCCCCTCACAGCCACCACCCCAGTCCACAACCTCATCATCTCTCACCTCGCCTACTGGAATAGCTTCCTAATTGGTCTCCCTGCCTCAAAACTCTTCCCTCCCAAATCCATCCTCCCCACACCGGGGCCAAAATATTAAGTCTGACCCCATCACCAAAAGTCCAGTGGTTCTTTACTGCTTTAGGATTAAGTATATATTCCTGTTTGGCTTTTAAAGCCCTTTACAAGCTGGCCCCAATATACCTTTCCAACTCTGTTACACACCCCTCCCTTCCCACACACTACCTTGCCAAACTGGCTGACACAGCCCTGCATCTCCCCCCTTCCAGACTTTGCATTGTCTGTCCCTATGCCTAGGACATACTACCTCCTCACCTCCTAGAATTTGTTTCCTTTAAAGCCCAACTCCAATGCTGCCTTCTACATGAAGACTTTCCCCCACCCCCAGATTACCCTGTGCTAGTTCTAAGTGTCTCCTTCTTTAGAAGGGAAGCTCCTTGAGGGACCAGTGTACTTCTGCCTTTCTAACCCCAGTGCCTAGCACAGAGTCCAGCACATGGCAGGAACTTTAAAAATGTTTGACCTCAGCCTTGTTGTAAGCACCACAGTGTCACGCAAAGAGGAACATCTGGAGAACTCGGCCATCAGAGTGTAACAGATCTGTGCACTGTGGTACCTTCCAATGGAAACAGGGAAGCCCGCCATATTAAGGCCATCCTCCTTATTAGGACACACACAGTGCTCCTCCTTGCCTACACGGGAGGGGTGGCAGGGACTCAGTGACCAAGCACACTGCACAAAAGGAGAACGTACTCCAAGGCACTGGAAAGGACAGCAAAAGCTGTCCTTTTTTTTTTATTTTAAACTAGGAGGGATCAAGAAATATTCCACTTGTAAGCTAATTGGAATTGTTTGAATCTGAGAATCTGAATGAGGAGGGATGTCTACGGTGATCTGCTCCTGCCTTCCTCCCCAGGCAAGAATCTTCTCAGCAGCACCCTGGTGCTCAGCGACCACTCGACTTCTACCTGAACACGTCCAGTGACAAGAGAGCTCACTAGCTTCTGCGGAGGCAAGTTCCACAGCGGGCCACCAGTAAGTGTGACATCGTTCCATGCACTGGCCTAGAACTCTCCATCCTGGGAACTTCTACCCACTGCTCCTACTTCTGTCTTGGATCACATGGAATAAATTTGAGTGATTATAAAATTGAATATAAACAAATTTAAAATAATTTATTATAAAAGTCACCTTTTTTCACTGCTAGATAAAAAAAACTAGACAGCATCGAACAAGTTTAAATACAGAGGACAAGAAAGGGAAAAAAGAATCTTTCTTCCTGTTGCCAGTCTGAAAGCTATCCCCTGCCTACCACAGAAAGCAAAGGGTTTTTTGTCCAAACAATCCCCTTACCAACTCCACCAAATTAAGGTTAGTGGGCATAAAATGGGCTCAGCCAGAAAAATTCTTATTCCATTATGGTTTTAACTGTTAACTTCACATTATGTGACTTAGGACTTTTTAAATTCCTTGTTTTGTTGGTCTCATCACCAATGGACTCTGACAATGAAAGATCTGGACATGAGAATGTGGGAGTTTCAGAAGAAATTGCAAATTGGATCTACTCAAGAAGAGAGAAAAACCTGATTCAGTGTTAACCCCTTCCCCAGTTTAAATGGAGGGGAAAAGCCCACAAAGATTTAAGAAACAATGAGTTCAAAACAAAAGTTAATAAAAACACTTTCTGAATTAAAAAGAAAAAGTGAGATTTTTTTATTAATTTGCCTTCTGAATTAACTTTCATAATACAAAAGTTTTTAACACACATTTCACTGTTTTGAATGCAACGACTTAAGCTTCTCTCTGCTCTTGGGACAGAACCTGCTGACTGGTAATATGCAAATGGTTCAATTTGCCATATGAACTTTTAGACAATCAGAGAGAGCTCCCCTCCATGTATGGCAACTGCAAGGCAGGTGGGAACAGAAATCTTCTGTAACCACTGTGCTCCACTGCCCCCTAGTGCTAAACCAAGGGCTTACTAGAAAAACAGAAGAAATGCTTTTAAAAGTCGTTTAAAAATGCGTCTCCCCTTAACTCCCACCTACAATCTAGTTTTAAATAATAAATCAAAAATATATTAAATTAATTTATTCAAAAGGCAATTTCAAAGGCTCAGTTCAAACATTACAGATCTTTTGCTTTGGAACATTTCATGGATTTCTCTACACACCCAACAATCCAGGATGTGGACATTTAAGGCAAATGGGCAATATGGAACATCAGGTTCACTTCATGTCAGTCAGTGTGATCTCTCCAGGGACGTGTGGGCCAGGACATCTTTTGGGCTTATTCTCAAACCTGCATGGCAATGATAGGGAACTCTTTAGACTGCATATTCCTTCTGATCATTCATATTTTCCATAAAAATCATTCTCAGAGGTGAAAATGATTACAGCTGCAATGATCGACAGACATCATAAGATGGATGGGCACAAAGAAGGTTCATTCTTAGGGAATGGTGAGCACCTTATGATTTTCAAGTTCACACACAAAAAAATTTTCCTCAAATGAAACTATACAAACCCAGGCACACAAGTGGACTCGGAAGGATACATACAGACAGACGGACAGAGACAGACAGACAGACACACAGACAGACACACACACACACACACACTCACTCACTCACTCCCTGGGCCCCTTTGGTTACTTCTGTCTCTACCTCCCACCTCTCTGTGGCTCTCCAGTCCCTCCACTTTTGGGGAGCTGGTTAGAACCCAGCCCCCATGATTATGTATCGATTTAGATATTTTAAAGAAAATAAATATCTCGCAGGCAACACAGTCTACAGCACCTGGTACAAGTAACCAGCAACTGACGACTGTAGGCTTTTCCTGCCCCCACATTTCATGGCCAAAGGTGTCCCCGTGTGAACGAGTCCACACGTTTCCAAAGGAGGAAGGAGGGAGTCTGATCACCTCACACCCCAAACTCCATGGGCTGGATGCTTTTCTGCTGCTCCCTGTGGAGCTGCTGGGCCCTGCTCTTGAGGGCCTCGGCCTTAGCGTCGTCCTTGGCGACCCCATCTCCCAGTTTATACATGCGGCTGGCATTCGCACAGGCCCAGATGTGACCCAGTTCGCAGGCTTTCAGAGAGTATTTCAAAGCCAGGCCCATGTCCTTGGGGACGCCTGGGGATCCCTGGAGGTACATGGCACTGAGATTGAAGCAGCTAGGAGCATAGTTGCCATCACAAGCCCTTCTATAGTAGTCTCGGGCTCGCACCAGGTCAGGCTTATCGTCACTGATGCGTCCGTCTTGGGTCAGCAGTCCAACGTTGTGACAAGCATTTATCGACTTCTTCCCGGGTTTCTCACAAGCCTTTAAAAAACAGTCATAGGCATTTTTCCAGTTTGGGGTTAATCCACCTATAGGCAAAGAGAGGAAAAAAGAAATCTATGTCAGGTCAAAATTTTAACACTTGGAGCAAAAACCTGCTGGCAAAACTCTAGAAGAAAACAGTCAATTACAGAATGAGTTTAGTTTTCAGCCCATGAAGCATCTTTCTGCTAATGTGGCTGGCCATAACACCCACTTGAGATGAGGACTGGAAAAATAATTCTGCTATATACAATTATAAGTCTGCCCAGCTGAGGAAGTGGGGAGGGGGTGCTGGAGAGGACAGAGAGAAGGACTGAGAACTCAGAGAATTATAGGAAGATATGTATTAACTGACACAGAGTGAAAGAGGAACCAGGAGTCCATGAGATGATCAAGGCAAACAACAAGGCAAGCCCAGAATTCTGATCACAACTTTGATCTATTGTCAACTTCAGAGGGCTGAGTGATCTCGAAGCAAGCTGCCAACCACACAGCAAAGAGACGGTGGACTCTATGCAGGCATGAGGTGACACAGGCATTTTCAGACACAGCCAACACACAGGTTTGTTTTGCTTAACTATATTTTTTGTTACAAGGGAGGGTTCTATGAGGGGAGGACAGATCACTGGGAATGACAGGGATATTAAAAAAGGGCATCCATAAGATATTTTCTAATTTAAGAGACTGAAGACCCCTGGGTGGAGGTGAATTCCTATGTCTAGATAGATGGAGGCAGCTGAGTCTCATGATCAAGTCACATTCTCAGCAGGAGGAGCTGAAGACTTTCAGCCCATTTTCTCAATAGATAAAGTCCACCCACTCATTAATTGTTAACCAATCAGGGTTGATTTTCACCTGTCAGGGGCACCTCCTTTTCCAAAGGTATTTAAGCATTCGGGGATCTCCTGGATTTTGTCTTTGATTACCAAGAGAGATTACTGACCATCAATTTACTGATTATTTGCTAGCCTAATTAATAAATTGATGATCAATTACGCAGGAAAAAAAAGAGACTGAAGACCTCACTAGTCTCCTGAGGTGTAAAGCATCCTCAAGTGAAAGCATCCTACCAACTACTAAAAACCAAACCTAAAGACAAATAAATCTTGGCACCTGGTGCCAATAACAGGCGTTACATACCCTCACATAAATTATAAAGTGCAGAACAGTAGAATTACACTTGTTTCAAAATGCACAAAATTCTATAATAAAAAAAAAAGCCAATTTGAGAGCAGGAATCACAGCAGCACTTGATCAAGAAAGCTAAAAGGGAGCTCTGAGGCCCTCAAGCCCCTCTGAGGCCCCAATCACTTCATCTGACAGAGGAGGAAGGCAGAGGAGGCCCCGCAGCTGAGGTCACACCGAGTGTACGGGTCAGAGCCAAGACTAGGCATGCTATTAAAAAGAAAAAAAAAAGACTACCTAAAAATCATCATGTCAAATCACCAAAAAAATAGAAATGTAACAGAATATTACCAAACCGTAAAGTCACATATACGAATGTAAATAAGTACAAATGATTTCTGATGATGCAGAGTAGATGCAAATATACAAGAACATACACAATCAATAAGTATTTATTAAGCACCTACTATGTACCAGGCAAACTAAGCACTGAGAACAGAAAAAGAGGCAAAAGACAGTCCCTGCCCTCAGCTCACAATCTAACAGGGGAGATGACAGGCAAACAAATAGGTACAAACAAGCTATGAGGAGGATAAACAGAAATGATTAACAGAGGAAAGCACTAGAATTAAGATGCATTGAGAAAGGCTTCCTGTGGAAGGTGAGATTTAAGCTGCGACTTGAAGAAAGCCAGGGAGGTCAGTGGGTAGAAATGAGGAGAGAACATTCCAGGCCTGGGGGACAACCACTGAAAACGCCCAGAGCAGAGAGATGGAGGGCCTTAACCACGGAGCAGCCAGGAGGCCAGTGTCATTGGATCACTGAGTTCTTGGGGAGGGGGCAGGGGAAAGTGAGATATAAGAAGAATAGGAGGGGGCCAGGTCATAAAAGACTTTGAATGCCAAATAGAGGATTTGCATTTGATCCTGGAGTTACTAGATAGAACTACTGGAGGTTTTTGAGTAGGGAGATGATATGGTCAGTCCTGAACTTTAAGAAAATCACTTTGTTGGCTGAATGGAGGATGAGCTGAAGTGGGGAGGGACTTGAGGCAAGGAAACCCATTAACAGCTATTATAATAATCCAGGCATGAGGTGACAAGGATCTGCACTAAAGCGGTGGCAGTGTCAGAGAGGAGAAGGAGATGTTTTGGAGAGAGGTTGCAAAAGTGAAATCTACAGGCTCTGGCAACAGCGTGGATTTGGGGAGGTGAGAAATAACGAAGAGTCAAGGATCAAAGACAGTAAGTTCAGTTTTTGATATGTCGATTTTAAGATACAGTTACTGACAACCTCTGTAAAGGGCACCATACTAGACACAGTAAAAGCCACCAAGAGGACTAAGACCCAGTTTCAGCCACTGCAGAACTTACAATCCAGGCTGGAGACAAGACATCCATATGGGGTCGGAATCCCTTCTTTTTACCTTTCCCTGTTGCATAATAGGCTCCCAGTTTGTAGCAGCTGTCACTGTGGTGGTAGTCTTCACAATTGAACTTCAGTACCTTGGCTGCCTCGTCAAAGTTCTTCTGGATCCCTTCTAGATAATCTACCAGCCTGAAGCAACCTAGGGCAGAAACCAAAGAGCGAGTGTCAGTCATCACTGCCTAGGCTGCCTTTGAGGGAGGCAGTGCTGCTGGCCTAGATATGTCCCAAGAAAGCAAGACCTAGTTCATTTGTGTCCTTTGAGCTTCCCAGGCCAGTCCTCTGATTTTTAAGTTAACAACAGAAATAACTTACTAGCCAGCACTGATGCAGTCCCTTAAAGTTTGCTAAGCTAAGCAGTTTCCATGTTATCTCCTCTGATCCTCACAACAACCCTGACAGGTAGGTGCTGTTATTTATTCCCACTTTACAGATAAGGAAACTGAGAGTAGGAGAGATGAAATGTCTTGCCCAGAGTCAGTCAGAACTTCCAACACAAGGGTCTCCAACTGGTTTATAGAAACATTAGATTTAAAAAATGAAGGTGACCTTAAAGAACGTCTGCATTTTAGCAACAAGGTCCGCGGGGCCCTGAGATGTCAGATGACTTGCCCAGGGTCATGCAGAGTTCACCAAAGCCCATGGCCTCGCACCGAGGTCTGGTGGACCCCAGAACAGTTCTGTTCCAGCACACCACCCATCCATGTCTTTGAGGGTCTTCCAGACCACCTCGAGATCTATAGTGATCTCCCTTTCCCCTTCCTGTCTGGAGCAACCACTGGGTACTTGGTTACGCTATCCCTGTATCCAACTCCTCTATGCACCTTTATTTATGGTGCTGATCTCAACCAGTAGAGATCAAATTTAGGAAAATTATTTCATGCTGTGAAATTTTAAAATAATAAAAATCCAGATAAGAAGACAGAAAAGATTCTCACTACATTGGGGTTCAGGCTCCAGTCCATTACCCTACACACATTTCCCAAGAACAGCAAGAGCAGTGTGGCAGAAAGAATATGAAACTCAAGAGACAGGAATTTGGGTGGGCTGGAATCCTGGTTCCAAACTTATGAGCTCTACCACCTTCACCTCTTGGAGTCTCTATTTCTCTATCTGTACAATGGAGGTGATCGTATTTGACTTAACGTCACAGAGTGGTTGTGAGGAAAACATTTTCGAAATCTTAACAGACTAAAGAAAAGTGAACTGCAAGGAAGACTAAATCCAAAATCTGGTCCAGCTTTATTAGAAGACTTCTTCACTACTAAGAAAATGAGACTGTGTAACAGTCACCCAAACAGAGGATTCTCTAGGACAAAATTTTCACCTCAACAAGTACCAGGTAACCAAATTAAGAAACACGTTTTCTTGGCTCAGATACACTGAGAAAACTGAAGACTTTCTGGAGCAGATGTAGGAGAGTCCAAAGAACTGTGGGGACTCAAGACAAAACAAAACAAATGTACAAAAATATTTATAGCAGCTCTTTTTGTGGCGGCAAAGAATTGGAAATTAAGAGGATGCCCATCCATTGGGGAATGGCTGAATAAGTTGTGGTATATGAATGTAAAGGAATACTATTGTGCTATAAGAAATGATGACTTCAGAAAAACCAGGAAAGACTTGTATGGTCTGATGCTGAGTGAAGTGAGCAGAACCAGAAGAACACTGTACATAGTAACAGGCACGTTGTGTGATGACTGACTTTGATAGACTTAACCCTTCTTAGCAATACAAGGATCTAAGACATCTCCAAAGGCCTCATGATGGAAAATGCTATTCACAAAGAAGAAAGAATTATGGAGTTTGAAAGCAGATCAAAGCATACTATTTGCTATTTTTTTTCTTCTGCTGTGTTTTGTTTCCTCTTTCCGGTGGTTCCTCCTATTGGTTCTAATTCTTCCTTACAACATGAATAATGTGAAAATATGTTTAATAGGAATGTATATGTCTAGCCTATATCAGATTGCGGGTATATCAGATTTCGAGCTGTCTTGGGGAGGGAGATGAGAGGGAGAAAGAAAAATTTAAAACTCAAAAGTTTATGGAAGTGATTGTTGATGATTCAAAATAAATTAACTTAAAAACAAAAACAAACCACCTCCCCAAAATGGCCCCAGTTCTCAAGAAGCTTACATTGTACTGAGGTGAAACGACATCTAGACAGAAAAGTATCTCTGTGAGGAGAAGAGAATGAGCACTTACAATTAAGAGAAACATGACAGATCATACATGGATTGAGCCTTGAAAGAAACTAGGGATTTTTTTTTTAAGCAATTGGGATTAAATGACTTGCCCCGGGTCACACAGCTAGTAAATGTCAAGCGTTTGGTCTGAGGCCACATTTGAACTCAGGTCCTCCTGACTTCAGGGCCGGTGCTCTATCCACCGCACCACCTAGCTGCCCCAAAACTAGGGATTTTAAGAGGCAGAGGTGCAGAAAGGGTAGAGAAAGACTAGGGGAGAGAGGAAGGGGGGGGAGGGAGAAGGGGAGAGGGAGAGAGGGAGAGGGGGAGGGAAGAGGGAGGGGGGAAGGGAGGGAGAGAGAGAGAGAGAGAGAGAGAGAGAGAGAGAGAGAGAGAGAGAGAAGATGGAGATAACCTCAAAAGGGAAGGTCCTGGGGGGTAGGGATAGGGAGAAAGTGAGATTTAGGCTTATATTGATTACTCAGAAATATAGTAGAAGGAATTCTTTTCAGTATCTTCTTCATTTATTCAACAAGTACTTTTAAAGTGTCTACTACATATTCAGTACTAGGGATACAAAGACAAAATCACAAACTGAGTCCTAAAGAGCATACATTTGGGGAGGGAAGGGGGGAGAGTATACAAAGATGCAAATTCAAAACATAAACAAGGGAGAGGCAGCTCAGCTTGGGATAGTGGATAAGGAGCTGTCCTAGAGTCAGGGAAACCTGGGTTCAGTTCCATGTCTGACATATACTGGCTGTGATCTTATTAAAGTGCATGTCAGCCCATACCATTCTCCTATTCAACAAATTCCAGTGGCTCCTTATCACCTCCAAGATCAAATATAAAACCCTCTATCATTCAAAGTCTTTCACAATCTGCCACACACACACACCCCTCCTCCACCTTTACAGTCTTCTTATATCCTGCTCCTCTCCACCAACTCTATGATTCAGTGACACCACCCTCCTTGCTGCCCTTCTGACAAGGTTCTCCATCTCCAGACTCTGGACGTTTTCTCTGGCTGTGCCCCCTGCCTGGAAAGCCCTCCCTCCTCATCTCTGCTTCCTGGTTTCTCTCAAGTCCCAGCTAAAGCCCTACCTTCTAAGGGAAGTCTTCACCGTAGGGCTTTCCCCTCTCTTAATTATTTCCTAATTATCCCGTACAGGGGTGGGGAACTCGGGGCCTCAAGGCCACAGGTGACCTTCTAGGTCCTCAAGGAATCCAAACTTCACAGAACAAATCCCCTTAATTAAAGGATTTGTTCTGTAAAACTTGGACTCAGTCTATGGCCCCAGGTTCCCCACCCCAGATCCCGGACACAGCTCGACGATACAAGGTTATTCAAACGTCGTCTCCGCTAGATTGTGAGCTCCCTGAGGGCAACCACCCTCTTTCGATTCGTAGCCCCAGTGTCTGGCACATAAGCAGGTGCTTAATAAACGCACCGACTACGAGTGACCCTAAAGCACTGTGCAAATGCTAACTGCTGTTACGATTAATATTTAATCCTGGAGACAACAAGCAGCCACTGGAATGACAGACTGAGCAGGGAGGTGACAGGACTGGGCCTGCGCTTTAGGTCAGTTTGACAGCTGAGGGGGGAAGGGGCTGGAGCGAGAAGAGACCCAGGACCACCCGCCAAGGGGTGGTGGTCCCCCACGATCCAGGTGGGGAGCTGAGGAAGGCCGGGAGGGGGCGGTGATGGAGGGTGCAGACAGGGAGGGGCGGGGGAGGGGGGTGGGAGAAAGGACTGGGGCTGATGGAGGAGGGGCGGGGGAAGGGGCCAGAGGAAGGAGGGGGGCGGGGAGGAGGAGGCTGGGGGAGGGGACCGGAGGAGGAGGCTAAGGCTGACGGAGGGAGGCAGGAGGAGGGCGCTGAGGCTGACGAAGGGAGGCAGGAAGAGGGCGCTGAGGCTGACCGAGGGGGCCGGGGCAAGGGGCCCGAGGAAGGCGGGAGGAGGAGGAGGAGGCTGGGGGAAGAAGTCGCCTCGGGCCTGGCCTCTCCTCCCGCTCCACAGCCCCCCGCTGAGGTCCCTGGGCCGAGCCCCGTCCCGCCTTCCCCGCGCCCGACTCACCGTCCGGGTCCTTCTCCTTGTAGCACTGGTAGTGACACTCCACCTTCATGTTCTCAAGAAAAGAGGCCACCTGCTCCTCATCCTCAAAATCCACCAGACCCGCCATGACCACCACCGCCGCTTCAACGCGCATGCGCCGCCCCGCTAGCCAATCAGAGCGCGCGCCGCTGAGGCCACATGACCCGGACTGAGGACGTGCACCTACTGAGGCTGCGCGCGCGGAGAGGTGGGGCGGGGGGAGGAAGAGAGGGGAAGGGGAGAAGAGGGAGGGGACGGAAAAGGAGGGGTGGGGAAAGGGAGGAAGGGAGGGGAGGAGAAAGGAGACATTGAGCATTACTGAGCACCTGCTTGGCCCCATATCAGTGCTGAGCGAATTTGCTCGGGGCCTCTGCGGCTCGAAGTAACCAACCTTTATATCGCTCTCAGAGCGCTTTACTTGTAGGTTTCCTCACACGAACACCAAGGAAACTGAGGCACAGACAGGTTAAGTGACTTGCCAGGGTCCTGTCTTCCCGACTCCAGGTCCAGCCGCTCTGCCCACTACTATTTAAAAGTAGGAGGGGCAGCGCGTGTGGACCAGTTCAACTTCTTTTGTGGTGTAGGAAACTTGGCTCAGAATGGGGGAAAGGACTTGGCCAAGGTAAATAGGTAATTGAGCTGGGATCTAAACCCAGATACTGTGACTGGAGATCTAATGGCCCGAAGGTTTTTTTTTGTTGTTTTTTGTTTTGGGGGGGGGGTTTGAGAGTAGGGGAGACATGGGCATTGTTGTAGACAATGGAGATCTAATGAGGTGAAGGGAGGGAAGAGGGAAGGAAGAAGAGAGGAAGAACTTGGATCTAGAGCTGGAAGGAAGCTCACGGATGTCCCAAACATTAATCAGTAAAGGCCTACTATATACTAGGCACTGTACTAAGCCCTGGGGATACAACGAAAAGCAGAAACATGGTCCTGCTATCAAGGAGCTCACAGTCTAATGGGGGAGACTGTGCATGCACGTGAAGGGTACACAGTATTAATTGGGGATAATCAGTAGAGAGAAGACTAGCGATAAGGGGGATCAGGAAAGGCTTAGCTGGGACATGAAGGAAGCCAGGAGGCTGCTGCCATAGTCCAGTTGATGAGGCTCCAGCCTAGAGTGGGAACAGGGCCAGAGAAGAGGAGGAGCATACATAGACAAGAGGTGTTACCAAGGTAAAATTGGCCGAGCTTGGCAACAAATTGGATATGGGGGTGAGAGAGTCAGGAGTCAAGGATGACACCTAGTTTGCCAGCCTGGGTGACTGGAAGGATGGTAATGGGAAAGTTTGGAAGGGGGGAGGATTTGTTTTTTGTTGTGTTTTTTTTTAATTTTTTTTTTTTGGTGGGGGGAGATAATGAGTTCCATTTTGGACAAGATATGTATAAGATGTCTATGGAACATCCAGTTGGAATTGTCAGTCTAGAAGTTAAGAGTGTCAGGACCCCCATGCCAAGACCACTCCTCTCTTTTTACTCCTCTCTTTTCTTACTATTAGGAGACACCTTGTCTCCCAGAGCTAAAGCCTAGCAAGAAAGGTGTGCCCTGAGCTTGGCATAAGAAGTCCTTTGTCTAAATCATAGAATTGGCTCAAACCAGCCCCAGGAGATCCCTGAGCTAGAACAAGTACCTACAGGAACCACATTCTGGTTATGAAACCCTACTGTGAATAGACTTTTTGTCTCTAGGCAAATTTGTTTTGTTGCTGTTATATCTCACTGGTTGGTTCTTTGTCTAGCCACAACTGTACGAATCAAGGCTTAGCCTTGAAGCCAGGAGTCTCCTTGGCCCTACAGGAGACCCTGGCACATGTTTCTAGTTTCCCTTCTCCAACGAAATAAAGGCTTTTTGCCTATAACCTCTGTGGCTGTTTGATCAGGGCTCACAGTTGGTGTATAACCTCTGTGAGCTCTTTGGTATTTTCAGGATTAACAGGGAAATTTAGGGCTGGATGAGTAGATCCAAGAATCTTCAGCATGGCACTGATAATTGAAACCATGGAAGCTAATGAGATCATGAGTGAAATAGTATAAACAGAAAAGAGGGCCCAGGACAAAGCCTTAACGGATACTCACTGTTAGCAGGGATGACTAGATCCTGATAAGGAGCATCAGATAGGTAGGAGGAGAAGCAGGATAGGGTAGGGACCCAGAAACTTAGAAATAAGAGAGTGATCAACAAAATCAAAAGCTTCAGAAAAGTGCAGAAGGATGAAGATTGGGTAAAGGACATTAGATAAGGCATTTAAGAGATTACTGGCAATTTGGAAAGAGTAGTTGAGGTTGAATGATGAGATCAGAAGCCAGACTGCAGAGAGGTGAGGGGAGAGAGAGAAAGAGAGGAAGAAGAAGAAGAAGAAGGAGGAGGAGGAGGAGGAGGAAGCTATTATAGACAGCTTTCTCAAGAAGCTTAGGGAAAAGTGATACAGGATAATGATGTAGAGGGATGGATGGATTAAGTGGGGTTTTTTTTTTTGAGGGTGGGGAGACATGGATGTTTTTGTAGGCAATAGAGAAGCAACCCAAAGACAAAGAGAGGTTGAAGGTAAACAAGGAAGTGGCATCTGAGTCACTCTTTCCACCAAGCTACCCTTTGGGGCCTGGGAAGGGAAGGGAAGGTGGACAGGTCATCCCTGTGATATATTTTGCCCTACTTGTATACGTACATGTCTCCCACAATAGGCTATGAATTCCTCGAGGGCTGGAGCTGTCTCATTTTTGTCTGTGTCCTCAGTGTATGTTTAGACTATTAGTTGTTGTTAAATTGTTTTTCAGTCATGGCTGAAAACCCCGCTTGGGGTTTTCTTGGCAAAGACACTGGAGTGGTTTGCCGTTTCCTTCTCCAACTCATTTGGCAGATGAGGAAACTGGGGCAAACAGGTTAAGGTGAATTGCCCAGGGTCACATAGCTAGTGAGTATCTGAGGCTGGATTTGAATTCTGGAAGATGAATCTTCCTGACTCCAGGCCTGGCACTCTATCCACTGTGCCACCTAGCTGCCCCAGCTAAGCTATAATATGTCTTTAATAAACAAGTTATCCACAACACCGTTTAGACCTCCTGAGGAGGTGGTGAGCTCCCGCTAGAGATGTTCAAGCAGAAGCCGTATGACCACTTGTCTGGAATGTCATAGGGGAAGATGCCTCTGGGGTATGAGTTTGACTAGATAGATGCTTGCTGAAGTCCTTCCAACTGTCAAACTGGGATTCTGGGATTCGTCACATGTTGCACAAACTTCCCTATTCTGCCGTTTTCCCATCTGCCTCCTCGGTGTCATTTCTGATAAAGCTCCTGCCTTTGAAGGTCCTTGAAGGCCATTCTCATAGCATCTGTGTGGTGTGGTGGAAGGGGCACCAGCCTGAGTCTTCAGGAAACCTGGGGTTGGATCTTGGCTCCATCCCGTACTCAGCTTGTGGCTGTGGGTAAGTCACCTGTCTTCTTTAGCCTGTATTTCTCTGTATAATATGGAAAGAGCATTGGATTTGGAGTGAGAGGATCTGGGTTCAAATTCCCACTTGACCACTTACTTCCTGTGTGATACTGGTCAAGTCACTTAACCTCTGGGGTGGAGTTTGGACAGGATGACTGCTAAAGTTCTTCTGTGTTTAAATCTCTGATCCCCCTAATCCAGGGTTGTTATGAGGAAAGTACTTTGTAAACTGCAGAGTGGGCATTGTTTCCATTTTTGTTTAATCCCCTCTCCCGATAACACCTAGTAAAGCTGTCTTGCATGTAGTGGACGGTCAATAAATGCTGAGCACAGGGCTTGAGTTAGCTGCTGTAGAGCTATCAGTGATCTCTCTCTTACCCGTTAGATCCAATGGCCTCATTCTTCATCCTCATTATCATCCAGTCACATCCAGCTCTCCGTGACTCTGGGATTTTCTTAGCAAAGATACCGGAGTAGTTTGTCATTTCCTTCTCCGACTCATCTTACAGATGAGGAAACTGAGACAAACAGGATTAAGTGACTTGCCCAGGGTCACACAGCCAGTCTGAGGCTGGATTTGAACTCAGGAAGATGAGTCTTCCTAACTCCAGGCCAGTTGTCCCTCATCTTCATTACCTTCTGACAATGTGAATAATCCCCTTCTAGTAATTTGTCTCTGGGCTTTTGTACGCTGCTCTGCCTGCTTTTCCTCCTTCTCAGTCTCCATTTCTGATTCATCATCTGCCTCCTTTCCTTAAGGCTCTGACTTGAGTTCCTCTGTCTCTCATTTCTGTCTACATTCACCTTGGAAATCTCATCAGCTTCTCTAGCTTAACTAGTAGACAACTCCCAAATCTCAGGCTTTGAGAAACTGGGGAGCACCCAGAGCAGGGCAGCCAGAATCAGGGGCCTCAGACCTGTGCCCTGTGAGGATAGGTTGAAGGAACTAGAGATGATGAGCCTGGAGAGGAGATGAATTGTGGGAATAAGATAGCCACGTTCAAGTGTCTGCTGGCCTGGAAGAGGGATCAGCCCTCATCTGCTTAGCTCCAGAGGGCAGAGCCAGGAGCAGGGCAGGAAGACCAGAAAGAAATTGATTTAGACTCAGTGTCCAGAAGTCCTTCCTCACAATGAGAGCCATCCCAAAGTGGAATGGGCGGCCTTAGAAGGTGGGGGGCTACCCCTCCTTTGGAGTGTCCAGAGACTGGACAGCTACATGTCAACTATGTCATCGGGGGATCCCTTTGGTTAGTGGCCTGAGCTGAGGCCCCGTGCGGCTCAGAGACTCTGGGATTCTGAGTTTTCCTCCTGGCTTCACCACGACTTCCATCTCTGGCTGTTTCTTCACCTCTCAGACTGAGGCAATAATTCCTGCCACAGGATCATCGAGAGGACCGAGACCCGAGTGGCCTCTCAGCTTGGTGCTATCAGAGTGACGGTGACTGGGTTTTGATAGAGTTCTCAGAAATCATTTGAACAAACCAATGAGCTACAGGCTAATCAATCGATGCATTAATCACCATGAGTCCATGAGGCAGCTCTGGTGCCAAGCTCTAGGAATGAAAACCAAGAAAAGGCCAAACGCGGGAGCTTACATTTGACTGGAAGAAACACCATGCCCATAACTAGGTACGTACGAGATACCTACAGAGTAAATAGAAGGTTACCTCCGAGGGGACCACT